CGCGTACTTATGTTGCAGACCTTCTAATACCCGATTCATAACTCTCTGATATTGTCCCGGACAAGAGGCTATCCCAAATGGCATGGCTCGCCCGTCAAAAAGTCTCGCAAGTCAGTATAAATTTTCATTTCGTATAAATCAGTAAATCCCAGTTCTTCATCTGTGTGTGCGAAGGATGCCCTATGTGTTGTTAAAAAGTGTAGTAATTGCTTCTTGTGTTGTTGGTTTGTGACATGGGCCACTAACGAGGCATAATCGACTGTTGTTTGCGCGTTGAGTGCGTTATCCGGCAAGTGATCAATTTGCCGAGTCTCGCTACAACAACCCGCTTTCTCACGCCTTTGTTGTATAGTCGTCTGTCGTTTCAGCCCTGAGGCCGCGACGAAGCGCGTAGCGTCGTTTTTTACCATCCGGCTTGGTCGTGCTTGTTCTATCGTTCGACGTAAGTGTGCCACCGTTAATGCGGTATTATAATGCAAATTTATGTGTTTGCGTGTTGTATTTCTAAGGAAACAGCTAATCGTGCCATTATTGTGTATGTGGCATGTTTTCGTCAGAATCTGTAAAACCTGTGAAACGCTGATAGCCTTTTAGTGACAGCGACTGAAGTTGAACTTGTATTTCCACGGGTAAAACATCATTAACCTGACATTCACACCAAACCATTTGATATGGCGCGAGGTGTCTGTAGCGTTGCACATAGGCTACTTTTATCGTGGGCAATGGCCCCCGTCCCTCTTTCGCGTACATCGGCACGATACTATTACCAATCGTTAAAACTGAGTTTAAGAAATCTATGCCCACCCTATTTTGGGCGAAAAAGTTTATCCCTAAAATGATATTCTTGGGCAATGTTGCTACTACACAACACTGGAGAGACATTCTTACTCGACCTAGTGTGACCGGCAATTTAACTACCCCCTTCACACGTAGCTGGTCACCCGTAACAGACTGTAACTGTAGACATACTTCGTTATCGAGTGTTGCGGCTTCCCTTGTGTGATTAGGTAACCCCCTCCATACTGACTTATCGACTAACGAACATTCAGCACCTGTATCGATTAATGCTACCAGTTTTTGCCCACCTACTCGAATATCGCAACACGGCCACACGGCGCGTGTGCGACTGCGGCTGACCCCCATTACCTCATGTTGCAGCCTAGCGGGCGCGGCGCGTTTCTCGACGGCAAAACTACCCGACAATCACGTGCGAAATTACCCTCTTTGCCACAACGGAAACATAATCGTACTTGATTTTGCGGTCGTCCTGCCGAAACAGCGGTGGACGCCTGTTATAGTCCGATTCATTAGGCGGTCTACGTGGTGTGTTAGAATTTTGTGGTGTAGCATCGTGTCTGTGTTTGTGTCTGTGTCCGTGTGTTTGTCGGCATGTTGCGTTGTTTCTGCTCTTGTGTTGTGCATAAATTTTGCATGCTTGCTACCAAGTGCTTCATCTCGCCTACACTCTGATGCATGTCTCTAGCCGTTTGATTATTCCTAACGAGATCTACTTCCATCGGCTCCAC